TATTGATGTTTTTCTTAGGTAGAAACACTTCACAATCTTAGCTTCTACTATCAAAGGACATGATGATTTCTCAAGAATGCTAGCAAAATTCCCACAGAGGGATCACATCAGCCTGTTTAGGTTAGATGCTAATCACAGAACCAGTACTTGGATAGAGAGATGTAGTTCTCTGAATAGCCTCGCCTGGGTTACTTGCCTACCCCTGAAGCCAGAAATAGGGTCAACTCCATAAAAACCATTGAGCTGAGAAATAGAAGTGTATTGATCCAAAGGGAAGTTGGGATATCATTTCAAACATGTGGAAGAAGGCCTTCGGGGCAGGCAATGATAAAAATCTATCATTGAAATGTATGTAGAACCCAGCCCAACCTACTCCAAATTATAAAATATACCTTATCCATGAAAAACAGAAATCTGGTCATGGTCATATATCCTGCAATTCATAAAACATCTAGTATCCAGCTAGGAAATGGGATAACTTTCCTAAAACATAAATTTGGGAATTTCTGTTATAAGCAACAGGAAATCATTCAATAATATTAGAGGAACAATAAAAACAGATATAAATTTAAATCTCTATTTTCTTTCACAATTTCATTTCTTCATTTCTATTTGTCCTGTGATTAAAGTGGGCTCTGGAAACTGTCATAGAAACTAATTTCACCTTGGTAACTAATTAGGCTAACCTCCACTGAACTCTCCACCATCATAGTTATGCAAAGAGCTTCTGAAGAGTTATCGCTTCACCTTTGCCCAGGATGAGGTATCCATGGAAACCTTGAACATCCGCTGACTGGTGGTTGGTTGGCTCAGGCACCCAGAGGGTAATTTATTTCTTGGCTACCTTGAGACCAGCACTTGGGCCTGCCATCCTGACTTAGATGATTTTGTTAAGCGTAACTCCTCATCAAAATCTATCTTGCGTTGATCCCAGTATCATTCTGACAAAATTATTCAGAAAGATAACTAGATCAGTCAGGGTGAGAAACAGAAATCTATAATGATAAATCAAAGATATTAAAAAATCCCTGCATCTTATTTTTATTCTCATGAGGCTATATATATGCTATATACTATATTATGCATATATTACTACATATATACATGTATATACATATATATTGTGTTAGTTTGTTTTCACACTACTGATAAAGACATACCTGAAACTGGGGGAAAAAAAAAGTTTAATTGGACTTACAGTTCCATATGGCTGGGGACGCTTCAAAAGTCATGGTGAGAGGTGAAAGGCACTTCTTACATGGTGGTGGCAAGAGAAAATGAGGAAGAAGCAAAAGTGGAAACCCCTGATAAATCTATCACATCTTATGAGACTTATTTGCTATCATGAGAATAGCATGGGAAAGACTAGCCTTCATGATTCAATTACTCCTCCTTGGGTTCCTCCCAAAACATGTGGGAATTCTGGCAAACACAATTCAAGTTGAGATTTGGGTGGGGTCAGAGCCAAACCACATCATTCCACCCTTGGCCCCTCCAAATCTCATGTCCTCGCATTTCAAAACCAATCATGCCTTCCTAACAGTTCTCCAAAGTCTTAACTCATTTCAGCATTAACTCAAAAGTCCACAATCCAAAGTCTCATCTGAGACAAGGCAAGTGCCTTCCACCTATGAGCCTGTAAAATCAAAAGCAAGCTAGTTACATCTTCGATACAATGAGGGTACAGGTATTGGTAAATACAGCCATTCCAAGTGGGAGGAATTGGCCAAAACAAAGTGGTTATGGGGACCATGCAAGTCCAAAGTCCAGCGAGGGAGTCAAATTTTAAAGCTCCAAAATGATCTCCTTTGACTCCAGGTCTCACATCCACATCATGCTGATGCAAGAGGTGGGTTCCCATGGTCTTGGGCAGCTCTGTCCCTGTGGCTTTTCAGGTTACAGCCTCCCTCCCAGCTTATTTCATGGGCTGGTGTTGAGTGTCTCTGACTTTGCCTGGCACTCGGTGCAAGATGTCAGTGGATCTACCATTCTGGGGTCTGGAGGACCATGGCTCTCTTCTTACAGCTCCACTAGGCAGTGCCCCAATAGGGACTCTGTGTGGGGGCTCCAACCCCACACTTCTCTTCCACATTGCCCTAGCAGAGGTTCTCCATAAGGGACCCACCCCTGTGACAAACTTTTGCCTGGGCATCCAGGCATTTCCATACATCTTCTGAAATCTAGACGGAGGCTCCCAAACCTAAATTATTGACTTCTGTGTACTTACAGGCACAACATCACATGGAACCTGCAAAAGCCTGGTGCTTCCACCATCTGAAGCCACAGGTCAAGCTCTAAGTTGGCCCTTGCAGCCATGACTGGGGCAGCTGGGATACAGGGTACCAAGTCCCTCATATGCACACAACACAGTGACTTTGGACCTGCCCAGGAAACCACTTTTTCCTCCTGGACCTCCAGGCCTGTGATAGGAGGGGCTGCCCTGAAGGTCTCTGACATGGCCTGGAGACATTTTCCCCATGGTCTTGGGGATTAACATTAGGCTCCTTCCTACTTATGCAAATTTCCATAGCTGACTTGAATTTCTCCCCAGAAACTGGGGTTTTCTTTCTGTCACATAGTCAGGCTGTGGATTTTCCAAACTTTTATGCTCTGCTTTCCTTATAAAACTGAATGCCTTTAACAGCACCCAAGACACCTCTTGAATGCTTTGCTGCTTAGAAATTTCTTCTGCCAGATACCCTAAATCATCTTTCTCAAGTTCAAAGTTCCATAAATCTCTAAGGCAGAGGCAAAATGCCTCCAGTCTTTTTGCTGAAACATAGGAAGAGTCACCTTTGCTCCAGTTCCCAACAAGTTCCTTATCTCCATCTGAAACTACCTCAGCCTGGATTCTATTGGTCTATCACTATCAGCATTTTGGACAAAGCCATTCAACAAATCTCTAGTGAATTCCAAACTTTCCCACATTTTCCTGTCTTCTTCTGAGCCCTTCAAACTATTCCAACCTCTGCCTGTTACCCAGTGCCAAAGTCACTTCCATATTTTTGGAGATCTTTTCAGCAACACACCACTCTACTGGTACCAATTTACTGTATTAGTTTTCATGCTGCTGATAAAGACATACCTGAAACTGGGAACAAAAGGAGGTTTAATTGGGCTTACAGTTCCACATAGCTGAGGAGGCTTCAGAATCATGGCAGGAGGCGAAAGGCACTTCTTACATGGTGGCAGCAAGAGAAAAATGAGGAAGAAACAAAAGCAGAAACCCCTGATAAGCCCATCAGATCTCATGAAACTTATTCACTATCACAAGAATAGCACGGAAAGATCAGCTCTCATGATTCAATTACCTAAAACTGGGTTACTTCCAAAACACATCAGAATTCTGGGAGATACAATTCAAGTTGCGATTTGGGTGGGGTTTCAGTCAAAACATATTATGTATTATATGTGTCTACATAAAAATATGAAAGTAAACATTTATGCATCTATGATATAAATATACATATTAGAATAGTCTTTCCTGCTAGTCTAAGGCTAGAGGTCACTGATGTTGACATACTTTGTTCTTTCAGCCTCTCTGGTCTCCCTGGGGCTTGTGTTTTGCTTTTGTCCTCTCAGTATGTGAGGGCTGACCTTAGCAGAAAGTTGGCTGTCTTAAATACGGCAGGTCATCTATCAATTCTTCCCTAGGCTGTCAGAGTTTCTTTTAATCTCACCTGTAATTTTCCAGGGAGGTTTACAAAAGCCACAAATAGAATTTTAATGTTGTAAAATACCTGTGGAGACAGTAAATATTTCCTCTTTCATGAGGACAGGCTGTATGTCAACAAGTCTCAGAGAAGAAAATGACATGTTCCAAGTTAAAGTGTATTGTTCTTAAATTGTCCATGAATTGAGTCATTTGCATTATTGTTCTGACATTATTCTCTCTACATATAGTTAAAGCTTAGGCATTGGCATACACTTCTTGTTACTGGATGCATGATTCTTAAAAGATTTTTTTCTTACACAACTAAATATTAATTGCTTCTATAATTGCAAAATATTCACCCTACCAATTTGCAAATGTATTTATTACGCCTTCCAAGCATCAGCTACAGAAACTAATGGCAAAATTAATGGATATTCCAAGCCCCATTGAGAAGAAAATATAGCCTCAGAGAAGCTTAGTGATGAAGGATACACTGAGTGCCTAAATATGAAGGCTTCAATAAGCCACAGTGACTTTTCAAGATAGCTTAGATAAATGGACTCTCAAATGTGTCAAATCAGCTGGCAAGTAAACACTACAAACTAAATAAGGCTGCATCACAAATTAGTTTTTAAAGTAAACTTTTGTTTTAATTATTTATGCTAATTCTTCATAGCTTTCTCAGAGATGGCACATGCTTAGTGAAATAAGGTTAGCCAATGAGAGGATAACATTAGTGATGTGATGCTGTGACTTTATTTGTGAATCCAATTTATTCAAAAAATATTTCTTAAAACTCCGCTATAGTTAAATTCTGAGGATAAAAGGTGAACTTGATAGTTTCTTCCTCAAGAACTGCTATTTATGGAGGAAAGAGGACATCTAATCTATAAGATACATGGAAAGATGTATAATTAAGGGATAAAGATAATGGCTCACTTCGAAGACAGTGGAGGTTAAACCTTCAAGAGATGGGGTATGTTCCTGGAAAATGCATCTAGGTAGAGGTAATGATACATTCTAAAATGTGCAAGTACTTTTAAGTAGCTAGGGTGTAGCATATGGAAGGTGGGAAGTGGTTAGCATCTGGGTGAATGTTGGTTATACTCTTGGAAATGGAACATAGAAAGATTGATTCAAGAGGAAAGGATAGGCAGGCATGGAGGGAGGCAAAGAAAAACAAATTTAAGAAATAATTAAAAGCTGAGAGTAGAAGTAACTTCAGTTATCCTCTAGACCTCTCCATTGATCTTACAGGTCAGAAAACTAGTGTCCAAATCAGTGTGACCACGATGTTGCTTTGCAGAACACTAACTTAGCTTATCTCTTTTGGAATGAAACTCACGTGTAACAGTTGTTTCTGAGTTCTGTTGGTTTAATCTTCTCTGCAGCATTATTTATTTGATCCAGAACATCTTCCTCATCCTTCAACAATTCAGTGTCACTCATCTTAGACCCAGAAAAGCAGATATACCATCACGTGCTGCAAAACAACATTTTGGTCAATGATGGACTGCATCTACAATGGTGGTCCCATAAGATTATAGTGAAGCCGAAAAATTCCTATCACTTAGTAATGTCTTGATGATTCTGACCCTGTGTAGGTCTACGCTGATGTGTGTGTTTGTGTCTCACTTTTAAAAAGAAAAGTTTAAAAATCAAAAATAAAATAATCTTTAAAATAGAAAAAACTTAAAATAGAATAAAATAAAATGTTTTGTACAATTATACAATGTGTTTGTGTTTTAACCTAAGTTTTATTACCAGAGTCGAAAAGTTATAAAAAATAAAAAGTTTATAAAGCAACAAAGCTACAGTCAGCTAAGATTAATTTAATATTAAAGAAAGAAAAATATGCTTTTATTGAATTAGTGTAGCCTGTGTACAGTGTTTAGAAAGTTCACAGTGATGTACAGAGATGTCCTAGGCCTTCACATTGACTCATTACTCATTCATGGTAAGCGTCCCACACAGGTGTACCTTTTTTTTTTTAAGATGGAGTCTCACGCTGTCACCCAGGCTGGAGTGCAGTGACGTGATCTTGGCTCACTGCAAGCTCCGCTTCCTGGGTTCACGCCATTCTCCTGCCTCAGCCTCCCGAGTAGCTGGAACTACAGGTGCCTGCCACCACGCCCAGCTAATTTTTTGTATTTTTAGTATAGACGGGTTTCACTGTGTTAGCCAGGATGGTCTTGAGCTCCTGATCTCATGATCCCCTCACCTCAGCCTCCCAAAATGCTGGGATTACAGGCGTGAGCCACCGCACCTGGCCAGTGTACCATTTTTAATCTTTTATATTGATTTTTTACTGTACCTTCTTTTGTTTAAATACTTACGATTGTGCTACAATTGCACACAGTATTCAGCATAGCAATATGATGTACAGGTTTGCAGCCTAGAAAAATAGGTTATATCATGTAGCTTAGGTATATAGTAGGTTGTACCATCTAAGTTTGTGTCTATGATGTTTGCACAATGATGAAATTGCCTTATGGCACATCTCTCATGAATGTATCCCCATCATTAAGTGACGCATGGCAGCATTATGAAACTCATCTTGCTAATGTTCACCTGAATGATTAGAGTTTAGAAAATATTTATGGAGGGTCTACTAGTTACATATACACTGCATTGGTTGATTTGAGATCAACAAAAACATTGCTAATCCAATGTTCCTAAGAGGCTGCAAGCTAGGGAAAATGCATTTGGAATAGGTCATTGAAGGAAGCTATTTCCTAGAAAGCAGAAAGTTCTAATATGACGAATAAATTTCAGTGCAGTGGTTCAACTAAAAACTAATTTTAAAAAGTTGAGAGTGAATTCAGGTCACTTTGATAGTCACATATTATGAGAGGGGGACAAACTAAGACTTGAAATTCTACTCTTATCCAATCAGAGGGAGTATCAACCATAGTTTAAAAAACCTTTAATATCTGGTGTGGTCAAGCAGTTATGCATCCTTTTTGTTAGAAATGTAATGATCTTGCAACCAAAATTTCATCGTTGTTGTTGATATTTATTTGTTCTGTGGATACTTATTTTTGGTTGCTATAAGAACAAAGAAAGATAGAACCATATACTCATTTTTCTTCTCTCTGCGTCATTTTTGTTTAAGATTCTGCAGGTTAAAGTCTGTCTTCTGAAAATAAGACAAAACAATCTTTTGAATACAGTTCAGTGGTAAAACAATTAATTGAAGACATGATCTATATTTTCCATATTAGAAGAGTTATTGTACAGAAGGAAATGGGAGGGGTTTATTCTGGATCTGTTTATACACGCCAGGCATAAGTCTAAAAGATATAAAATTAACAGATAATTATTTTCCTCTTAATATTATTAACTTCTTCCCAGTGAGACCTATACAAATGGCCTGGAGTTCTCTCACATGTGAATAAACTTATTTCTGGCAGTGTCTCTAATGACAATGATTCCATGATTTCTTGGCTTACATCTCTACCAGGCAGCCTCTAATCCCTGCCTCCTCCATCTCAATGCATGGTTTGCACTTAAACAAATTACTTGGTCAAAGGAACTGGTACTTTTGCTGAATTAGGTGTCACTGAGAAAAATTAATTGCTGATCTCAAGAGCAAATTCATAGCTCGGCAGGGAGGTGCATTCCTGTAATCCCAGCTTCTGGGGAGGCTAAGGCAGGAGAATCGCTTGAACCTGGGAGGCAGAGGTTGTACTGAGCCAAGATTGTGCCACTGCACTCCAGCCTGGACAATAGAGCTAGACTCTGTCTCAATGATAATAATAATAATAATTTTTTAAAAATAAGTGCAAATTCAGGTCACTTTGATACTCACATATTATGAGAGGGGGATGAACTAAAAATTGAAATTACTAAAGAAAGAGTTGTGTTAATTGGAAGAAGAGAAGGATTTTATAAACAATGAGTTCATTAATATTTAATATTAGGAAATAGAGGTCAGGTTTTCAAGTCAGTTTGATGATTTTTCCACTTGTAAAAGACATAGAGATAAAAGGAACACTGCTCTAATGTCCATGAAAGTTACCTTTAGTAAAGAATAAGAAAAAATTATTACTTGTAATAATAGACAAGTGATAAGAAGCAAATGCTTATGGATTTCTTTATTTAAAAAAGAAAAATTATACCTAGTCTCAGAGATCAGCAAACACTTCTTGAAGTGGAGACTGAGAGTTACTTTAGAAAACCTGTAAGGATTAGCAGGATATTGACTAGTGAAAATGTAAAAAAAGACAAGTCCAAGGAGAAAAGCTAAAGTGATAAAACAGGATAATGAAGGAAAACAAGGAATTTACAGGACTATGCGGAAGAAAAGTGTGGGAAAACAACGAGGAAACTGAAACAAAATCTATGTCTCTCAACAGATTGAAGAGAAAAGTGACTCTAGCCTGCATTGATTAACATAACTGTGATTGCTTTTGCAAACGAAGACTTGTGATTTTAGCAAAATGCTTTTAGGTCTGATTCAGTAAAATATGCCCAAAGGAAGAGTCTACTACTCTGAGGACAGATATGGCATTAAAGTCAACTATATTAGAATATCTAATCATAGGAGTCCCAACCTCACCCTCTCATGGTGGTCATAAAAACAAGAATCAAACTCATCACTCATATCAGGATGCATGATGCATGCAGGGAGACAAGCCATGCGTTAAATGAAGAAACAAGCAAAAAGTCCCTATATCATTACATTTAGTATACAATAAGCAAATGGCCTTCTGTTTATTAAATCAATCATGTCTCTTAACCCACTTTAAGATGAGGACATTGAGTATTAGAGTTTATATGTAATTCAATTAAGGTCACTCAACTAGTAAGTGGCAGAAATGGGACTAGAACCCAGGCCGTTTGATTTCAGCAACCATCCTCTTAAATAGGATGCTTTTTTCCATTGTATCTCAGTGAGACTTACTGTTTTGACTAACACAAACTATGTTCTCAGCTGCTTCTGTAGAGGATAAAGCACAGATAATGTCAGTGAGCTGACAAGCCATTGCAGTGATAGTGTTGTTTGCCAGGTGCTCTGACATGACCAGAATCTGGAAGAGAAAACAGGTGTCACTGACTTAGAAATGCAGTCTCAGGCTGCTGCTTCTTAACAAACTTGTCAAGATTACCTTCCTCACGCCAGCATGCTGTGTGTCCAGCCATTGAGGCAGGTCATTTTGTTCACCCGAAGAATGATCAAGCAACTAGGCTTGGGAAGCAACAAATGAAAGGAGTTTCTAAGGCCACAGAGGGGTTTCTTGCAACAGTTAAAAGCTGTCATCTGTGCAGTCACTTGGATCTATATATAATATTCCGAAAATCCAGGGGATGGAGACTTGCAGACATATAGTCTATTATCAAGACAGAGAATGTAAATTTTAAAAGTATAGGCCAGGTGCAGTGGCTCATGCCTATAATCCTAGCACTTTGGGAGGCCGAGGCCGGCAGATCACCTGAGGTCGGGAGTTCAAGACCAGCCTGACCAACATGGAGAAACCCCGTCTCTACTAAAAATACAGAATGTGCCATGCATGGTGGCACATGAATGTAATCCCAGCTACTAAGGAGTCTGAGGTGAGAGCATTGTTGGAACCCAGGAGGCGGAGGTTGCAGTGAGCAGAGATCATGCCATTTCACTCCAGCCTTGGCAACTAAGAGCAAAACTTGGTCTCGAAAAAAAAAATTATATATATACACACACATATATATACTATATATAGTATATATACACATGTATACTATATATAGTTAAATACATGTTATATATACATATGCTATATATATACATGTTATATATAACATATCTAGTATATATGTTATATACTAGTATATGTTATATATACTAGATATGTAATATAGTATATATTATATAACATATATACTATGTTATATATATGTAGTGTATATGTATTCTATATAACATATGTATATATGTATATATACTATATATGTGCATGTATATATACACATACATAGTATATATGCATATACATGTTATATATAGTATGTATATATGGTATATAACACACATATACAAGTGTTATATATACATATATGTATATATTTATATATAAGGTATATAACACATATATACATGTTATATATACATATACTATATACATGATATATATACATACAGTATATATACTCTATACATGTTATATTTACATATATAGTATATACATATATACACACGTATGTATAGCATCTATACTATATATGCATGTTATATATACATATATAGTATATATACATATATACATGTTATACATATATCGTATATAGTATATATACATACCTATATGTGTATATACACATGTACATATGTTATATATACATATATAGTATATACACATGTACATATGTTATATACATATATAGTATATATAGAGATATGTATGTTATATATACCATATATAGTATACATATTCATGTTATATATACATATATATGTATGTATATATGTATATATATTTTGATTTAACAAAGTGAAAGCCCCAGCTCTAGCAGTCTAAGATTTTCAGCTGCTTTCTGACAAAAACTGTAAAAACTGGCAGCAGCCTGTAATCCTTGTCTCCCACATCTCAATGCAAGCCTGATTGCCCCACGAATTCTCTTTCCTAAACCTTTTCTTTCGTTTTACTCTATATTAAAATG